CCCCTAGCCTTGGCCAGAGGGGGTGCAGGGGGGGGTGCTATTTTTCATGATAAAGCAACAAATTATTAGAGACAAAATGAGATACAGTAATTTGAGTAATAACATGATGATAAGCGAACTGTGAACAACAATTACAATTCAAAAACAGTAGTGAAGCAAGACTTTGCAGTAGTGAAGCAAGTTGATGGGCGGGCGGCACACATGACCAACACAACTCGGCACCAGAGCTGGCAGAGCACCCCCCCTCCCCCACCAGATCATGCTGGATCCATCACTGGAATAATTAAGGCGTTTTCGTCTTTTTTCAGCCGTAGCTGCCATGTCAGAATATAATGTATGTTTTTAATATTTTATTCAATTGTTGTTTGTGTAAAACTATGACTAACATGACTAGATAATGATTAAATTATGAGCAAACAAAATAATTTGTAGACAAATGAGTCTGATGACTATTTATATATTCTGCTTATTGGGTCATTCCAGAAAACATCCATACCTCCCCCACGGAGGAAATAGGAAGTTAACCCCCCTACCCCCTTCGGATGTCCTAATACATTTACTATTATCAGAAACAATTTTTTCTCTCCTCCCCCTCCGGACGGCAGAAATTTCCTCCGTGGGAGGAGTATGGATCTTTTCTGGAACGACCCATTTACGATCATCTGATCTCTACTGGGAAATGTCAATAAAATGTTTATGGTCAGTCATATTTTTGACAGGTCCGGACGGAAACCTGAGGGGGGAGGGGGGCATAACCTTGTCATGTTGTCATCTATGACATAAAATATACCAAATCTGTGGCTTTTAGATTATCATAAAACATATCTATAAAATTGCATGAAAAAGGGTTTTGCAGCCCCTAAAAATAGAAAAATGTCCTGGGGGAGCAAGTGCTCGGACCCCTATAGATGTTCTGTGTACTCGGCAATTGGACCCCCCCCCCGCTCGTTTGGAGCTGGCTTAACCCTTGCCTTTGTGACTTAAACTGAAAGCAGTAAAAGCAAATGTTTACCTTCGTCTCTGTACTTCTCCTTGACCTCAAAATCTACACCACTTTCAAGTTCACTTGTTTGAAAACCATCCTTTAGGATCACATTTGGTCGCTGTGTGATATCCTGAAAACAACAAATCATGGATGCAAAATAGTCTGATTAATCTGTTGTGTGTATTAGAGTAATGTGGTATTATAGTAATGTGGTATTAGACAAAGTAAAATAATAAAGTGGGGTGGCTCAGGGCACATCACACTCAAATGACTCAAACTGTCCAAGTATCTGTCCAAGCTGCAATGTGCTCTAAAATTTTTGTGATTTTATCAGTTATGTAACACATAAGGGATTCTTGCCCTGCATCCTGCTTTGCAGGGGGAGGGGGGTGAATAGATTTTCAGATCGTCGGATTTCACAGGAAAAATTGTTCGGATTTCGGATCTGGTGAATATTTTACACAGATTTGCGGATCTTTTTAATACAGCGGATTGCGGATTTATCTAATATTTTGGCTCGGATTGTGGATTTAGCTTGCAATTTAGTTCGGATCCTGGATAGTGACTTCACAGTAGAGCTTTTAGCGGATTCAAATTTAGACTCTTCCATTGTTGGATCACAGATTTTGGTTCAAATTTGGGCAGATCAGCGGATTTGTATACCCCTATTCACCCCCCCCTTGCAACTTGTTCTGGGAAGGGCGAGGTTTAGCTTTGACATAGGCCCTCTTCCAGGATCGAACGAGCAGCCCTGTGATTTTGGTGCAGCACTCGAACCAAATGAGCTATTTTGTCCAATTGTCAAGCTCTAAACATAAATTATAGTGTTATATCATGGGTGATGCCATTATAAGGTATGGCACAATGGGTAAAAAATCATCTTGATATAATGTACCGATCAATTCAAAACTTCATCATGCTCCCCCCCCCCCTGGCATACCCCGGGAATTTGACTTCAAGTCTTCTCCAGGGAGTAGGGAATTTGACGTTCTAGGTCTTTCATGTGGTGGGGCATTTGATAATGGGGTGGGGAATTTGAACCGGAAGTCTTAACATTTTGCCCGTTTTTGCATGCTTCCTGCATGCACAGAAAATACTTTGCATTGGTGGCAAATACAGTTTTCTCAGATTTCGAGGGAAACAGCCTCAATTTTGTCAAAAACTGGCTCAAAGAAACGGGCATGGAAAATCTATGTGCTTCATTTGAAGGTATGTACTACATAATTGTGTAAAACTGTTAAATTTCCATAAGGTATGCAAACTTTTTACGTGAATTTCGCTATCTTGTTGAAAAACATTTCCGTATATTTTGTACTTTTTGTATTTACTGTTTCATAATTTTCATATGAAGGTGGGGCATTTGAACGCTTAATGTGGCGGACATTGGGATTTACGGTTTAGCTTATTTTTCTTACGGCATTTCGGTATTTTCCTTGAAAAATTGCGGTATTACGATATTTGAATTCTTGTGGTACACTGTATTTGCAATTTTGGACTCAAAAACTGCAGTAATTGACAAAATTTGCTTGCGGTATTACAGTATTGAATACCCCCCAATGCCCCCCTCCTTAAATTTCTTGTTACAGTGGGGCATTTGAAGACATTTTTTGCACAGGCGGTGGAGAATTTGATCAGTCAAATTTCAAAAAGTTCAATGGTGGGTGGTGGTCCAGACTGCATTTTCTCCACCACACGCGGAAGATCTTCCGCGCGCATTTTTGATGCTTTCTATATATTTACTATTAAATTTTCGAAATCTTCCGCGCGCAATTTCCAAACTTTGCAGTCTGGGTGGTGGTGGAGCTTCGAATTGATCGATACATAAAAAGAGCTGCGATATTGTGTATAGAGGCAGGGGGTCAACGCAATCGTTATGAAATGAATTTGTTGAGAATCCCCAAATAAATACTTTTTTAAATGACTAATTTGTTTCTTTGCGCATGAAATTACACGAACGTCTTACATACAGGTTTAATACAACGACAACTGACAAGATATTCAGTAATTACCACATTTTGAAGACAGTGTTTTATTAATAACTTACATTATAAGCTGCTTGCATAAACAATTCGTCTTCAACCGAGTCGATCCCTTCCATTTTAGTAAAAAATAACTTAGATCTTCCTCGAAGCAAGCTTTTATTCCAAATTATGCCCCAAATCTTACAAACATCTAGAACCACGTGGAAATTTGCAAATTATAAACAAACACGGCTAAGAGACTGGGGCACTGGGGGCCATAACCACTTTTCCGTATTTTTATAGACCGGCGAACAAACTCATTCTCATTTGATTTTATTGTTCAAAATATACTTTTATATCTCTCAATTTAAGCACAGCTATAACTTTAATTTGCTTTAAATTCTAAAAATTCATTTTAAATTAAACAAAAAACACAATGAAAGACCTTGTAATAACGGCTGAAGATAGTTTAATTTGAAAGTTTAAAGTCATTTTTAAATACCAAATATGGACGACAATTTTTCGACATATTTTTCTCGCTATGGGGAAAAGCTCCGGTATGAAATTCCCGACCACGTGTCCACATTTTTGGAGGGAAAGTGAACTACGCCACGCGTTCGCTCGTTGGCGAAAGAATTTACGAAAAAATCACTGTAAATCGACTCAAAACGAATCCCAAACAACTACTATGTTGTATAAATGTACTTTTCTTTCCGTGCGATGAATTAAATTTGGATTTTAACGCGTGTAAACATTATTTTATTGCGTTCAAAACGTGTGGATTAAAAAACAAGATGGCGGACGGAGAAACGACGCGCCCGGTTCAGAGCGGAAAAACGGCCAAAGTTGAAGAGCTCGATGGATTTAAGTTTGTATCGTTTGAACAAGGTGAGCTTGTGAACTCGTTTGTTACAAATCAGCGCAAACGCGTCCCTAAACGATCTTTCGCGGGTTTTGGCTTGACGACGCTGTCAGTAACAAATGATACTGCGACACGGCTTAAAAAGCGACACCGTAAAGATGATAAAAGGGTGATAGTGGACAGAGTGGATGGATTTACGTTTGTCTCTGCTTTTACTTTAAATGATTTTGATGAGTACGACAAGAACCCAGTTAAGCATCCCTTAGCTCCTCCCACTAAACGAAAGGCCAACACCAAAATTGAATCAGCAGCACCTAAGAAAAAAGCCAAAAAACCTGAATGCTGTACTCCTGAAACGTCTGTGAATGTCGCCAAGAAGGGACAAAGTAATTCGACACTGATTAAGGAGTCGGCAAAGCCAAGCGAGACAGTTTCGAATACAAGTAAGAAGAATGTATCGCCTCTGACAAAATCAGCTTTGGTTCGCTTAAAGAAGATAAATGTAAGTAGTTTAAAGCAGCATAAAAATAGTCCTATGAATAAACAAATTAACAATATACAGGATAATACCAAAGATCAGAAGAATTGTTCATCCAGTAAAGCTAAGAAGTCGATAAACGTGAAGGTTCCGCTTATGAAAATTGATAAGCCTCGTCAGGTAGCTGGCTCCAATAGTCTGCCCAAAAGCAAGAAGTCAAAAATTCCTTATATGCAAATTGATAAACTCGGTGAGGCAGATAGCTTTAACAATTGGCACGAAACATTTTTAGATATTCTATCAGACGATGAGGACAATTTTGAACTTGATGTTTGTGGAATTGATGAAAATTCATCTTCTCAATTTATATTGAATAATATAAACACCCCTGAAGAGATAACCTCAAGTGACCCGGCAAAACCTAAGAACGAGGAAAAGAATAAACTAAAGAGAAAACCATGTCGGGTATGTTGTGCTTACCCATGCCGCATTGTTGGAGCAAAGAGAATCAAGTCCCGTGGAAACCAGTTTCCAAGTTTTGATGTTTCATTTACATCAAGATGTCAAGTACATACTCCTGGGGAAATAGCAATTCATGACTCTTCTCAGGGTAAAGTGAATGTTTGTATCCAAACAACTTCTACAGATATACGGATGCATCTTGATTTTGCAAGACGGTTTCCATACCGTGCGATTAACATAGTTTCATGTCAGCCGAGCCTTTATGATGACGATTTGAAGCTAGCGGACAACCTTGCGACTGGGACAATTCACAGATGTAGTGAGAACCATCGAATTCTTGAGCAGAAGCGTAGAGAGGAGTTACATGGCTTATATTGTAAGCTTGCCGATACTCTTTCTATCTCAAAGAATAAGGCAAGTAAGCAATGGATCTTAGAAAATGCACGCAAAGAAATAATGTGCCTTGAAGCTAAAGATAAAGATCTAACTGTCGAATTGAACTCAACAAAGTCTGAAAATGATGAGAAAAGGAAAAGATGGGAGCAGTTAGCAGGAAAGCCCTATGTTGCACCAAAGGAAAGTGTTACCAAAGTGGCAAGCAAGTCAAAGCTTTTGGAGTTGTATGAGCAGTATAGACAGGAAAGAGATCAGTTACAAAATTATTCAACCACGAAGGCAGAATGTAATTTCAAAAGCGAGGAGAGAGAAATAAAGGATGCACTAAAAGAAGAAGAGAGGAAATTACAAGAAAGAGAAAAAGTAAAGAAAGAATTGCAAAAGAAAATAAGAAATTCTCAAAGTATTGAAAAGCAAACTGTTACCTCAACCCACACACCAAGTAATAACCCAATAAACACGTTAAGCAGCAGCCCAGCTCGCACACCAAGTAATAACCCAACAAACATGCTAAGCAACCGCCCAACTCCCACACCGAAACTCAACAACTCAGTTGTTTGCAAATCAGTGATACCTAAGGCGAAAGATGCTGTAGAGATAAATAATTCCATCACGAAATCAAATCGGACAGAATGTAGTACGAAGGAGAGTTCTCAAAACCCAGCAGCATCCATGCAGTCCAGTTTGGAGTCAGTAAATAGCACTCCAGTGACTGCTAGTCAAGTTGGACAAGCTCTAACCAATCATATACAGCCCGTTTCCGTTGATACACTGGTAACTGCAGCGAAGCATACGTCATTAGGACCCCGTCAGATCGTACGCCCATTTCAACGCACACCAATCAGTCCTTCGCCACCGAGTACTCCAGTTATTCCTAAAATAGATTTAACGAATGAATCTAAAAGCCCAACAGTCAAATTAAACCAATTGGAAAACTTAACACCCAAACCAAACCAACAATCCAAATCAAACCCATTATCTGAATTATCCCAACTACTAGCAAGAAATCCAAATCTAGCAACAACTACAGGTAACGTGACAACACAAGTCGCAACACCACGTTTCAAAAGTCCCCCTCCAAACCAAAGCAGCGCTCTTCCTCAAAGTGCTATCCCCTCAGGTGCAAATAATCTAAATGCACTGTTTCCAACACCAATTGCACCTAAACCGAGTAACTCGTCTCCGTTGGGAGCTCCAAATAATGACTATGTAATTGTTACGATGGTCGTGCGAGGCAAAAGGACAATTTTCAAGATTCCAAAGACAGCTGAAGGATTAACTTTGATGAGTAAACTTTCAGCATTGAAGGTGCTCAGTCCCGATACCCTTACGAAACTTACTGCAAAGTTTTCTGTAAACCAACCAGAACAGTCAGCAGGTTCAACTGCCAGCTTAGCCACAAAAACCAGCTTAGTCACAACCCCAGCTACCCCAACCCAGTGGTCAGCTGTAGCCTCAATCCCGAACTCATCTACGGCAGTAACTGCAACATGCCAGCCAGTGAAACAATCCAATACTACTTCAGCTGTTAAAAGTAACAACAGCAGTGATGCGAGTATATTCCAACCTGTAGAACAACCCACAGCCACCCAATTATTTAAGGCTAACAATAGTAGTTTTGCCACTATATCCCAACCAGCTGTTAACAGTGGTAGTGTTGGAACTACATCCGAGCAAAAACCACCCAGATTTGGATTTAAAAGTGATGTGAGCATATCCGAGCAATTTAAAGAATTCAATGCTGGCAGACCCTGCAAAGCGGTCAGCCTGATTGATAAAAAAAACAGTATTGTTTCTCCCCAACAAAAGAAGTTAATATTCCTCGATTTGACAAGCAACAAGAAGCCTGAAGCTAAAGCATTCTCGGTGACACCCACTTCCTCGAGTATCAACGTTACTTTGAACAAACTAGGAAGTATTACGGCAAACAAAGTTTTTAATAGACGTCCGGCACCTATGCGATCGCAGAATAATCCACCAAATGCAAGTTTTACTAGTGTCTCTGCACCGTCAACATCACAGACAAACCAACCAAAGTTAAGTTCCGAGTACCACTTACAACGAACAGCACCCGTACAAGTTCTCCCTAAACGAGAACCTCATACAAATGTATCCATATCTCGTGTCCCTATGCTCACAACAAGTGTACATATTTATCCAGCTTCGCCTGCTCAAATCCCCTCCGAGGAGCCACCTGAAGACCTTCCCGACATTCCACCTGATATCCCATCTGACCTGACTCGAGCAAGCTTTAGTCCACTTGAAACAATCCCCCAAATATCAGACTCCTTGTTGAAAGACACCTGTCAAAAAGATGCAGACAACGCGAACGAACCTGGATTTTGCGTGATTTCAAATGTGTTCAGTTTGACTGATACTGGTGGAACACCAAACAGTCCTGAGACGACTACCGTTGTAGCAGCCGTTGATGCAAGAGTCGATACGAACGTCGGCGCTCCAGTGATGAGTATCAGTTCAGATGTGCACACTACTGACAGACGGTTCATTGCAGACGTGCGAGTATCTAACAGCAGCATTAGTAATAGTACTGCTGAAGACAGTGATAGTGGCGAACAATTGAAAGTCAAAGTGATTCAATGATTACCAATGAAAGAAAGGTCTTGTAAAAAAAGAACTTGCGACAATAGATATTTGCATGGACTTTTAAAAATGATCTTTAGAATTTTATGGACATTTTCTATTTCAGAATCCAGTTTTTAATGATGGTAAATAGGGGTTTTAAAAATATATAAATCAGAGAGGTCTTATATTTTTATACTGCGTAAATATTTTCGGTCAGGTTATAAACTGTCACTCTTATTTAACATCATTGGAATTAAACTTTAGAATGGGAACTGTTGCAAAAGGAGGACTAATAGTTAGGATATTTTGGGATAATCGGTACATTTAAAATTTTAAACTGACAGCCTGCATTTTGTAGCAGTTCGCCAATATAAGATTTGTATATAGCTAGCATAAATGAAATCAGAGTTGTAGTTAGAGTACGTGAAGTAAATTGAACTTGTATGACGATGAAATAGCACTTTATGTGTGAACACTACCAAATATTATATTTATGATGTGTAATTGAATTGTAACAGAACGTTAAATATATACCATGTTGCACGAAAAAATTCAGCATGTTTTATTTCACTGTTATTAAGGTGCAACCATGTCTATTTGGCTAACAAGCCCACATCTTCATCATTGCAAAAATGTTTTCAATCGGGTTGTCTGGAAAATATTTGTACCGAGAGTGGCAGGTACAAAAAAAACTACAAGTGAAAACTCGATTGTATATCAAATAATTTTATTCTTGGACTATTATTCATCGATATATAGTTCTGTTGCACTTCTAGTAGTGTTTCTTTTCTTAATCGTTTCCCCATTGCACGATCTGTCGAGTCTTCTTTAAGGTGATCATATCTCCTCCCAAGGGATTTTTGAAGATTTTTTTACATAATTTACAAGATTACAAAGTACAGGTGACCAATTTCGAAAATGACATTAGAATACCAAAATTTAGTAGCTTGATCATACCCATATTAAAAGTTTCTCCGATATATATAGAGCCCCAAAAATTCCTGCAAGGGTAATTTTCTCGACAGCATAAATGGGGCCTAACATTTTGATATGCTGTAATATTTTCTGGTAAGTATTTTAATCAAATTTATGTAAGAGGAGAAAAGTCAGTAGGACGCATAATTCTAGATTCCATTCTTCTGATCAGTGGAACTACATAAAAGAGGGAGATGTATGTAACTTGAAATCTAAAACAACATACACTTAATTGGAATCTTAGAAAATGTTTACCAGTATTGGCCACGCTGTCTGCCCAGTTTGGACTGTCCCATGCTGCTTCTCGTGTCTGTCGTCGGACAGTAAGGTTGCTGTATGCTGTGGTAAAATCAGATTCAACAAATTAGAGCGCTCTTTGAGTGTGTTCCAATAGGCAATTCCAGCTTTTAGTTTATGCCTGCAGGGGATGATGGGAAGTAAGGTATCATATTGCTAATTATGCTGAAAATTTTCAATAAAAACAACCGAAATATTTCAATATTTACAAGTATAAGCTATCACTCCGTGTTTACACGGCCATCATTTTTATTTTTTCAGCATAATCAGCAATATGATACCTTACTTCCCATCATCCCCTGCACGCATAAACTAAAAGCTGGAATTGCCTATTAGACTGAATTTAATTGTCTTAATTAGATTTTCCGTCAATCAGAATGCCCTAAGCTTGTTCTAATTAGATGCAATCCAATAAGAACGTTCTTGAGCGTGTTCTAACAACTTAGAATGCTTCCAAACTCATTCTAATTAGGTACAAACGTGTCTTCCTTACCCCAGAGATGATGGACGACATATAGTTCTCCAATCTGAGTAAAAAATCCTGCAACATCTTCGTTCATTCTTTGACGATGAACAATGGCGTTCATCCAGTTATTTCTCCACTCAATTAGACTGCCTGGCTAAGGATTTGTAAGAAAGAGACAATATTTTCCAGGTTCACATACGTCCAATTAAACTAGTCTGCAATAATAATTTATATAAGTTTTGGAATACAGTTTATATAAAAGATACCTTCAAATGATAAGATCGTAATTCATAAAGATTTTTAGTATCTCGTAGTTGTATTTCGCCCCAAAAATCAAAGCCATGTAAAAGTTGATTGTAGCGTTTGTGAAGCATTGGTGCCCGTTCTTTAGCAAACTTTACGAAGTTCTAAATAACAAAACAAAATCGAGGCTAATTCGCTAAACATTACAAGCCTCGTTCTCACCGCTGTTGTCTGTGGGCATTCGACCGTAATTCAGAAGTGGCCTATTAAAATGACTTCAAGTAGTGAGACTCAGATACTGGATATACAGGCAAACAGATTTTACAAATCAGCAAATGGAATATACCTCATTTGTGTGTAGATAGTGCTTTGCTTTAGTCACATCCTCGAAGCCAGTTTTATAAACCCACAGATGAACTAATATATAGAAAAGAAATATAGTTTAATGTCTGTATATATAATCAGCTAATAAGTATGGGAGCCACTCAGCACTTTAACAAAATACAAAACAACAGTTACTCTGAATAACATTCTCTGTTCTTTTGTATTTAACCCATTGAGTGTCAACACTCTCACCCTTTATTATTATTATTATTATTAATAGAATATTTATACAGATTACAGGATATAAATCACTTCAGTCCAAAGAGAACTGTTATCAATGTGAGTCCTGTAAATATGTGAACCTAAAAACCTAAACATGCACTAATAGGCTAAAATGTTAATATTAAAAATATTAAAATGTTAAAAATATCCTTTTAGAAATAAAGTAAAATCGTCTGACGTTAGACAGAGTAAAATAACAAAGTAGGGCGCATTGCTACTTAAAGGGTTAACAGGGTGCCCATGGAGGTAGTCTGATTAACCCATTGAGTGGCAACACTCTTCCCCTGATGAGTAAAATTGTCTGGCATTAGACAGAGTAAAATAACAAAGTAGTGCGCATTGCCACTTAAAGAGTTAATAAGCTAACACATGCTAGCTATATGCACCTGTGGTAAGTAGGCATGCATGAGAATAAGAAATTCACCCACCGGCACTATCTAAAGGTCCATACAATGTTGTCCAACTCCCAAGAAGTGTTGCAGGGAATTCCGGATCTTCACTTACACGAGGTAATTCTGAAGCGCTGGAAATTTACATGCAAATTAAAAGAAATAGTTTAATGTCTATTTTTTATTTAATGTCCAATTAATGTATATTTAATTGCAAAACTAAAACAACAATAAAATGATATCATTTGGCCTGGGAGCCTCGCTCTCATGAATCGTGAGCCAATCACCTTGTGTAATTTACTAATGAGAGCAAGGCTCCAAGACCAAAAAGTATGTGTGACGTAATTATCAAAAGGGTATATTGAGAATTCTTGGGTTATTCCAGAAGCAACATCCGCACCTCCTTCATCAAGGAAATGAGAAAGTAACCTTTTTCCCAGCTGTTGTAATTGGTCTATTTCTCCCTCGGCAAAAATTTGGGATTGTTTTGCAGAGGCGAGTCAGAACATTCTCAACATGTCTCAGTATTTGCTTCAGCAATTGGAGAGTGCAGAGGCAAATTATGAAGGCTGCTTCCCCTTTTCTGAGGCCCTAGTATGTTTTTCTATTGTCAGAAGTGGATTACCTCTTTTTCCCTCAGGAGAACACAATTTCCCTCCCAATTTGGGCACATGGATCCTTTTTGGAATGACTCATTATCTACAGACACTACACTTACACTAATTCTGAATAATCATTTACTCTTTCTGGCTTTATATGGTGAACTATAGAATAAAAAGTGAAGTTATTCAGTTGTGACAATCCAATCATCTACAGGACAACTTGCAATGAACCGCTTCTCAGTAGGGAGAATAACAGGGATGGATCCAGCATGATCTGGTAGGGAGGGGGAGCTGCCTCCTCCCCAGGCTCTTGTTGCATCATGGGAAGGTCACACACAATCTGGTGAGGGCCTGTGGAATCTTGGAATAAAAAAAATGGCGCCGGCATCACATCAGCAAGTAAATTTATACATAATCTTGAATATAAACAGGCTATAAAAAAGCGGCATGAAACTTGTAAATTAAAATGGCGACTCTAAGGACGTGTAAGGAAGAATTTTTTAACGATAAGGTTTGTTGTCCACACCAACATTGCACGAATAAAACTGCCTTCTTTAACGAAGCAGGTTTAGAACAACATTTATTCATTTTACAAGATTCCACAGGCCCTCTCGAAATCGTGACCTTCCCATGACACAATGAGGGCCTGCGGAGGGGGGGGGGGGAGGTGCTCTGCCAGCACTGGTGCAGAGTTGTGTCAGTCACATGCACCGCCCGCCCATCAACATACAGCAGTACTTGCTTGACTACTGTATTTGAACTATAATTGTTGTTCACAGTTCGCTTATCACCATGTTATTACTCAAACTACTGTATCTCATTTTGTCTCTAATATTTTTTTGCTTTATCATGAAAAATAGCAACCTTCTGCACCCCCTCTGGCCAGGGGGCATGTACCCCCTACCCCACAAGTAAATCCATCCCTGGGGTGAAACGTCAATGTTTGTCAAGACCATTTGAAGATTTCAATCTGACCCACCAATCAAGCATGAGGCCAATTAAACATGATTGGCTATTCAGATTAAAACTTGTCAAATGCTCTTAACATGAAAGTTTCATGTGCGAATAAACAATGTTCATTATCTTCACAGCTGTTCTGCTTCATCAGGTGCAAATGATTGTGCCGTACACAATGACAATAAAAATTAACGTACTGTGCACACTGCACATCAACTGCAAGACATACTAAACACAAATATAAACAAAAATAAGCAACACACTATAAAGCTTACACTGCAGCTCATAAAGTGTATTATTCGCCAAAATTTTCGAATGTGCGCCACTTCTTGGGTCCGCACTGCCAGCGACAATTGAACTCCAGAATCCTTTCTCTTTCGAAAATGCACGGGCAGTCACTCGCTTTAATGTTGAAGTAAAATTTAAATGTGGACTTAGGATGCCAGCATGATTTTTGGAAAATATCCTTGGAGCTATTCGATTGATCGCCATCTTTTGTTTTTGTCGCTGGGGTTTATATTTACGCTTACATGAAGTTCTTCGGCCTTCGTTCTGAGACTGAAAAGGGATTGAAACTTCATGTAGCGGTAACATTACTAATTACCGTCAGTTGTATCTAAAGGTGAACACTCGCAGATAAAAAACATTGTACGCCTCGTGAAAATTTAGGAAACGCGTGTTAGTTACATTATTAATTAATATAGCGTCAGGTCTATTGTCGTAAAATCATATTTCTACAATTAATCGTCTGGGCAGGTTTCTAAGACCCGTTCAAATACATCATTGCCGAACTTCTCTTTTGTCTGCACGCCTGAATTTTCCTGACATCTCACTGTAAATGACTCCAAGTACTTGGCTAACTTGCCCTCCCTATTTTCACAAAACCCTCGCATATTTTTGACAAGTTTTCTGACCGCGTCTTGGTCTAGGGTTACCGAGGACTTCCAACGTTTTGTGAGGGTATAGTTTAGTATCCATCTATAGCCATAAGAGTCGTTGTTTACTATAGTCATAAACAATGCTCCGGTGTAATGAACATAGCGATATACACCAGGTTTGCTTCTTGTTTGGTAGCACGAATAAATTCCTTCGTTATATGGAAAATCTTTAATGAAACCAAACCTAGAAAAGAGACAATGTATATGTATGGTCACCAATATCACAGAATACTACACAGAAGTCCATCTCCATTGTTTTTTGCGTAAGCGTTATTCGTCATGATTCGTCACTCAGCAAGTACCGTAAACAGAAGCAGTCACCCCCCTGGACATGCGCCATTTTTAGTATTTCCAGGGGGGTGACTGCTTCTGTTTACGGTACTTGCTGAGTGACGAATCATGACGAATAACGCTTACGCAAAAAACAGTGGAGATGGACTTCTGTGTAGTACTCTGTGCCAATATGGTCATTTAGTTGAGTGGCACTGGTATGGTTAGCATGCTACCACTCACTGTTGTACACAGGATTTTTCACCAGGCAAGCAATAATACCTATATATGCTAAAATAAGTACCCAAAATGCCATGCATAACACTATGCCATACAGAATCGTACAATCTGATTCACAAGAATATAAGTACCATTCGCCTTATAAGTACCATTCGCCATTTGCAAATTCTAGTTTATCATAACATTATAAAATTAGTAAGTCAAAATTTCTGTGGGAACAGTTGCCCCTGCTGCCCCTCCCCCTGCTGCTCCCCCCCCCCCCCCCCCCTGCTGCTGTGTGCAACCCTGCTACTGCATACCACCAAGTTCCAACTACTTGTGAATGACACTCTGTGATTGTCAAATGGTCCAGACATATTTTAATCTCACTCCAGTTCAAAATAGAGCACACTTGCAAAATTCCGGGGGGAGAGACATTTAAAAATCAGACCACGTTTTTGCATTCAAAATTTGAAAGCAACAAAAACAGATAAGAAATCGCTTAGAAAGTCAGAAAATTTGCAAGATCGAGAGATTTAAGAAATTTATAAAGTATCAGAAATTTGTAAAGTGGAGATTTTTGGAATAATCTTTCAAATATGGCGGCCGCAAGGGTTGACACAACGGCGAGTGACGAGTGTAACTTAACACCTTTAAATGCCGATTTGCCACAGAATGAAAGCTCTCAAATATTAACAACAAACTTTGCTGATGACTTGAGTTTATCTACTCAAGAAAAACCAGACGAACATAGAGTGTTTAAGTGCGACGAATGTGATAAAATATATCCTACGGAGGTGGGACTAAACCGCCATCAAAGCATTCATGGAGAACGGCCGTTTCAATGTGAAACTTGTCAGAAAACTTTCACACGAAAAACACATCTAAAAGATCATGATAAATCACATACAGGACTCAAGCCTTATCAATGCGATCTGTGTGAGAAATCCTACGCCTTCTCAGGGGATTTGAAACGGCACAAAAGGCTCCATACTGGAGAACGACCTTATTTTTGCGGTATATGTGATCAACAGTTTACATCATCAGGAAGCTTGACAGTGCACCAACGAAAACACACTGGACACAGACCGTATCCTTGTCAAAATTGTCAGAAAGCGTTTTACACTGCTGGCGAGCTAAAGCAACATATGGTTACACATACACGCTCGAAACCTTACATCTGTGATGTTTGTCAAAAAGGTTTCACAAATCAGTCGAATTTACGGACACACAAGAAAATACATTCAGAGAACCGTGAGCAGCACCAATGCGATGTGTGCCAAAAGTCATTCCTGGCTCCGGCTAGCTTAAAAGTGCATAAAACTACCCACACTGAGCTACCAAAAGAGTTTAAATGCGACCAATGCCCCAAAGCCTTTCCGACCGCATATCGTTTGAAAACTCACAAAGTATTTCATAATACCGTCAAGCCTTTTCAATGCGAGCAGTGTGGAAAATCATTTCATAGGTCATGTGACTTGATGTGTCATAATCGAAAGCACACCGGGGCCAAGCCGTTTCAGTGCGACATATGTCAGCGATCGTTTGGATTTTCAGGGGATTTAAAACGTCATAAAAGAATGCACACCGGTGAACGCCCTCATCAATGCGATATTTGCAACAAGACATTCTGTCGCACTACCGACCTTACCGTTCATAAAAGAACACACACTGGAGAAAACCCTTGCGTGTGTGTGATTTGTTTGGAAGCATTCCACCGGCCGTACGAGTTGAAACGTCACATGACTACGCACACAGAAACTGCAGAACATAAATGTACGACATGTGGGAAAATTTTCACGTTAGCAAGTGATCTAAGACGTCATGTACAGGTCCACACTGGCCTCAAACCTCACCACTGCGACATCTGTGGAAAATCATTCACCAGAACGTACCATTTAGCTGCTCATAAAAGAACACATACTGGAGTAAAACCATTCAAATGCGACCGTTGCCCTAAGGCATACACATTCAAATGTGATTTGAAAACGCACATACGCAGGCACAATGGTGATTGGCCTTACGAATGTCCACTTTGTCAGAAAACGTTTATAAAAAACGCCGACATGAAACGTCATGAGCTCACACATACGGACATAAAAAATTTCAAGTGTGATACTTGCAACAAATGTTTCAGAACATCTGGGAATTTGAAAACTCATCAAAGGACCCACACTGGCGAGAAGGCGTTTCAATGCGACATTTGTAACAAAGGATTGGCATCGAAGAATAGTCTTGTGAAACATAAAAAGACTCACGATGAATCCAACCACTTGCAAAACAAGAGATATGCATGTGAAAAATGTGAGAGGGAGTTTACTTCGACTAGAGGACTATCACGTCATAAAAGGAGCCATGCAAAAGACGTGTCTGAACTAGACAATGACAAAGATGATGGACAAAACCATAATATTAATTATGAGGATATTAATTATGTTTGCTCGTTATGTGGTTATAGCTTTGAATCAAACGACTCTCTTCAAAATCACATGAAAGATATTCATTAGTGATTAAGTAGTAAATTGTGTAACTACAGTCTTATTGAATAATAACCATTTGTTTAGATGGGCATAATATGCTAATTTTATTGTTCCAGTTTGAACGAGACAATAATTTTATGTTCTTCTAAACAAGTATATTTAGCATGTATATTAAGTTGTATATTTATGTTTTGAAGGCAACAATACAATATGAAAATACCTTTTCAAGATGGCTTCTTGAAATAGGAAAACCCTTGTCTTGAATTCCTCTTCTGAAATGCCTAAAAAGTAGCAAAGTGGCCAAAAAAATTTAATGAGATTTATTAATGAATTATTTAAAGGTGATCTACAGTCCGATCTGCGCATGTGCACAAATGAGCCCACTTTTTACGATACAAACATATTGTTGTTTCTTGATCATTTATTATACTCTAGAAGCTTGAAAATATAAATAGTTGTCGAATAAAGCTCAATATTTTGGACACAAAAATGTAAACAAAGGCTTTGTTTACATACGGACTGTAGATCACCTTTAAAATTATGAATATGAGATCCATATTCAACATCTAATTACTTATTATGAGATCAGTATTGAACATATAGTTAATTATTCTAGATGAGTTTTTCTGTTAATTATAAGGTCAGTGTTACTCATCCAGTTAATTATTATGAGATCAGTATTATTCATCCAGTTAAATCGAGACCAGTACTCACCTTGAAACGAGGCATGCTCTCTCAACCACGTGACGTCAAGCGGAATATGATGAGCGCTTGTGAATGGGTCACTTCGGGCGGGTTGACCGTCTTTTAAAAATGTAGGTAATGGTACCAAATGAAATCCATATAAGGTAACCTTTCGTGCCCAGCTTTGAACCTAGTATGAACAACATTAGCTCAAAAACAATATTTCAGCAACAAAGTTACCTAATCTGTAACTAACCTGCGATCAGGCCCTCACATATCCCTCCCAAGAACGCCTGATCGCAGGTTAAATCAGTACAGGCTTAACATTTCCCTACCAATTGATTGATAACAGATCCAGTGGAGACCAACCAACGAAGATGTACCACATAGGCATTATCTGGACAAAATATACTATCGTATCTCACAGTGCACCACTCGGGACGGTCACTGCTGCTTCTGTCCAGATGTATCTCCACATGTCGTGCTGCTGGGATCTTTTTTGAACCTGGTACAGAACCAACATCATTTTAACTATAAAACTTGTGCCAAGGTCACGGAGTGGTTAGTGCATGTGTCTTTCACCGGGTTCCGATTCCTATGCAGTCTACTTATAATTTCACGTCAGTCACATGTGAGAAGAGTGCTGCCTGTTTGACTCTACCAAACTCCGAACAGGTTTCTCCCTGTAGTAACACTGGATCAATAACGGATGATCCTCTTACTGGACCTCTAGAACAGTTTAGAACTGATAGAGCTATCCTATATAAATAAAGTTAGTTTCATTTAGGTTTCCTCCTGTGTAACACTGGATCAATCCGAGATGACCCTTACTGGACTTAAAATACTCATTAAAAATTCGTAAACCTTGTGGCAAATCATGTCCACCTGACTTTATATCTGATAAAACTCGTCTTCATTAGTATTCTTTATATAATTCTTCATCCTAATTAGTATGATTATATAATTCTTCATCCTAAATATAACACTCCTGCTCGTTTATTAAACAGTACATCTGGAACTGTTAGAATTGTAGAGCTATCCAGTAGGCTGGATCGATATACCGGATATATCCGATATACCGGTATTTGTTTAGATACCGGTTTGGCGATATTGACAATTTAAAAATACCGATATACCGACATTTCGATATTTTGCTGCCTAATACCGAAATGAAACGCTATTTCAAGTCAAACTTGCTTACAATCACGTTTAGAAAGCAAAGTTAATACTCACAGATGCATGATTTTGTTCTTACAGTTCTAGCGGCTTTGGTTTAGCAATACCAGACGTCTTGTTTATTAAATCGCCTTAACCGGAAATATATAAATGGCGAAATTTTTAAAGGAAAATTTCGACAAAAAAGAAAACTTTGATTTTGGAAAGTGTAAGTACTAGCTAGCATTTGCGAAGCAGCGAAAACCTTTTCTGGCTTTTCAAGTTTTTTTTATCGGGCAGTATAAGAAGGTAACTTTTTGTTGTTTTTAATCTTATTTAACTGACATGCTAACTTGTTTATGTGTTAGTTTTAAAAATGCAACGTTTTTTATGTTTATAACTATTAACAGCTTACTGAAACACTATCTGAATTTATATACAAAACGAATATTTTTCTGAATGATTCAACACTTCGCCCTACTAATAATTGCCGCTTAGCGCTGTTAATTGTTAACATAGCTTGATAATGCGAATCTTGTGACATTTGCACTAATAACAGTATGTGCCACATTAATATTTTGCCAAAACTTGATTTTTCTTGACGGTCAGCACTTCAGTTTGGTTTAAAAAAAAAACACGTTAAAAACACCGGAATACCGGTATTTACCGGTATTCTGATGGCGGTATATCGGTATTCGGTATTTGCGATATCGATCCAGCCTACTATCCAGTATCGTAGTATCATAAGTTCGTTTTGTTTAGGTTACCTCCGGCCTGTAGTAACACTGGATCAATAAGGTGTGATCCTTACTGGACTAAGCTATGCCATAAATAAAGCAGTTAGTTTAGTTTAAGAAATGTTAAAATGTTACTATATTCGTCTAACACTCACCCATATCATAAGAGTGTCCTGACGTCTTACGCTGAGGTGTGTCCACTTTCTCACTCCGTGTGAACACACCAACAGGACAATTTGAAGATTCAGACCCTCGCTCTTTTAAAACACCTTCAAACCATTTGGTTTGAAACTGGTGCAGAATATCATCTTGTTGTTTCGTCCATATCCTGTACGCAAGCTCGTCTGACTGATTGTCAGGTCGTTTCACTGGAATGAATTAACACTACAGTTCACAAGTTTGTTCAACACACAAGCATCGTGTTGATGACTCTTACTGGACCTCTGGGAGAACAGTTTAGAACGGACAGAGCTATCCAGTATAAATAACGTTAGTTTAGTTAAATTAAGGTTTCCTCCTCTAGTAACACTGAATCAATAGGAGATGATCCTTAATGGACCTCTAGGGAGAACAGTTTAGAACTGATAGAGCTATCCAGTATAAATAAAGTTAGCTTAGTTAAGGTTTCCTCCTGTAGTAACACTGGATCAATAGGAGATGATCCTTACTGGACCTCTAGGAAGAACAGTTTAGAACTGATAGGGCTATCCAGTATAAATAAAGTTAGTTTAGTTTAATAAGGTTTGCTCCTGTAGTAACACTGGATCAATAAGAGATGATCCTTACTGGACCTCTAGGGAGAACAGTTTAGAACTGATAGGGCTATCCAGTATAAATAAAGTTAGTTTAGTTTAATAAGGTTTGCTCCTGTAGTAACACTGGATCAATAAGAGATGATCCTTACTGGACCTCTAGGGAGAACAGTTTAGAACTGATAGGGCTATCCAGTATAAATAAAGTTAGTTTAGTTTAATAAGGTTTGCTCCTGTAGTAACACTGGATCAATAAGAGATGATCCTTACTGGACCTCTAGGGAGAACAGCTTAGAACTGATAGAGCTATCCAATATAAGTAAAGTTTATTTTTGTAACTTTATCTACTCCTTACCAGGCTTTCTATCAGCAGTTCTTACAATATAATAAAGATAAAAACCATCTATGAACGGTTGAAGGACAGAACCAGACGCATGTTGAATAAGACCTTCGTCCAGCATTCTCTACAGAAAATTGAACAAATGGTTAACTTAAATGACCTAAACTAACTTTATTTATACTGGATATTTCTATGAGTTTTAAACTGTTCTTCCTAGAGATTCATTCTTATTGATCCAGTGTTACTACAGGAGGAAACCTAAACTAAACTAACTTTATTTATACTGGATAGCTCTATCAGTTCTAAACTGTTCTCCCTAGAGGTCCAGTAAAGGTTCAGTAGAGGTCCAGTAAGGATCATCTCTTATTGATCCAATGTTACTACAGGAGGAAACCTAAGCTAAACTAAACTAAACTAGCATAGCTTAAGGATCATCCAAATTATCCCTTATTCATCTTGTACAACCGTAACCTGAGTATCAGGCCGTACTTTTTAGGGCACAGGCACGCCTGATCGTGGGCGAAGGGGAGAAAAGTACGGCCTGACACAAAAGTGGCATTTTGGCCGCGTTTACACTATACCGGATTGCTATCGGAGTGGGTCAAATTTTGTAGGTATCGAAAGGCTGTGAAGATTTTTAATCTCAGAGACCCAAATAAACATGCCAATTCTGTCAAACTAATAAGCATTTGCTACTAACCATTGCTCCGTAACGGCAAAAGAAGATGTCGTGACCAGCGAATCCGGTATAGTGTAAACAGGGCCTTTGTCTGGTTGTTCAGTCCAGAATCTGGACTGAGCGCTGATTGGCCGATTAGACAAACGATTTTTAAATCTGTCATTTGATTGGCTGGTGCTAATTAGATTATACTATTGTTGTTGATATATTCTATAACGATCACAACTACAATTATAGCCGGCCCACTAAACGGCTGAATTTAAATTAAAACTGCAGTAAAGTAGAAAATAATCGCAAATTAGCGAAATATATTGCAAATGTAGCTTATGCCATCAGATTGCACTATCGACTGACGTATAGTTATAAAGTATACTTAATATATATATATATATACTTTATAATTATACGTCACTGTTTGTTGATAAATACGGCAAGCGCCATGTAAAGCTCATTGTAGTCACTGAAACCTCTGCGGAGGAGAGAGCAATCGGGTGGCGATTTAATATAAGCTACATTTGCAATATATTTCGCTAATTTGTGATTATTTTTGTTAATTTTATAAGTTCATTGCAGTTTTAATTTAAATTCAGCCGTTTAGTGGGCGCCTATGTTATAATTAGATTGTTGTTGTCGTTGTGTGAAATTTAAATTTCTCCTGCGACATTTTGATTGGATACTAAATATAAACTTTGCTGTGGGCGGAAAGCGATCAGGTTAAGTTTTGTGTCAGGCTCTATTTGTAAAATAGAGCCTGATACTCAGGTTAGTACAACCGGAGTACCCGGAGAGTCAAACTGGAAGCACTCTTCTAAATGCAACTGAGGCGAAATTATAATCAGACAACCGGATATTGCAAGAATCCCAACCTGGTTTCAAGAGGGTTAAAGGTTCTAATTAGTGTGCCACAAAATTTGGCGTAAAAGACTAGCCATGGCTAACCTGACCCAGCTCCACCGCTTCAGCACGAGATTTCACGGGATGAATGTGGTGTATAATCCATAATGTTGCATCAGTTCCCAGAAAACACATTGGTGGGAGACCTCGCATCTCGGAGAGAAAGTTCAAACCAGTTCTAAAAAATACGTCAAAAACTTACAGTAAGCTAAGAATGTCTTTACATAACTCAATTTCAGCGGATGCTGGTCAACCTGCAGCTAGCAGAATGAGAAAATAATATTAATGTTAATAGTCTTGTATAACAGGGGTCTTCAAACCATGGGTCGCGACCCAAAATTGGGTCGCTAGCACACCCTCGAAGGTCGCAAGGCTTGTCTTGGGTCGCATGGGTCGCAATGCTTGTCTAGGGTCGCGAACTTACACTAGTAAACTTTACAAGACGAGAGATCAAGTGATAAGATGCATATATTTACATATGAATATTTCCTTGCGAAATTTGCAATTATAATGTTTTTTCACGATTATTATGAAGCGCTCAAGCGCTAGATTGCTAGAATAATATGGTAAACAGGTAAACTGGTAAAGATTTAGATATAATACCTTTTACTTCATGTAACTCAAACATTATGGCTTAGCACCACTCGGCGCGCCTTCGGCGCACGTCGTCTTCCGAAGTAGAGTCGTCGTCATACACTCGGGAGCTTTCGGTGAAAAGCCATAATGTTTTTAATTATCGAAAGTTTTATTGGCAGTGTTCAGGGTCGCGGGACACCTATGAAGCTTGGGTTTGGGTCGCCGAAAAAAAGGGGTGAAGACCCCTGTTGTATAACATTTTTGCTACTATAAGTGTCAACATTTCTGAAGTTGACTTGGATCTGATGCCCTGTATTGCTTTGGGGCCGCAGTAATTGGCAACTGCTGTTTCGGTTACCCAGCCTGTGGCGAAGCTAATCAATTTTAAATTGCTTACTGAAACCAACCAATACATTGTTTCTATTACTTACTCTTTCGCTCGCATTTCTTTTACGATTTCTTCCAAAAGAGGTATTGGGTTGGAATTATCCTCATTCTCGCTGCTTGAAGATCTGCGTCTTGGTGGCACACTGAAATTATATAGAGGTTCAGATTTGACTTCCACTACCGCTACTACTACCTCTCACTGGCTTAGTAAACATCTGATTGGTTGATCGGATATATCAAACGCATCTGATTGGCTAATGGTCCCTTAATGGAAGTGGTAGTGGACGTCAAATCTGAACCTCATTAATGATTATTATAAAATAACATGTACATAACGCGTGCTCTGATTGGTCGAAACCCGTGTTTGGATCAGGCCATCCAAACACGGAAATTTAAAGTGAAAGTTTTTAAAGTGAAATTTTAACACGGAAAGTTGTTATTTTATAAAACAATTACTTTATGGTTTCCGTGTTTGGATGGCCTGATCCAAACACTTGGGATTGTTTTTCTTAACTCTGGCAGCATTCCCGCGTGTTTGGATCCGGCCATCCAAACACGGAAACCATAAAGTAATTGTATTACACAAGACAGACGAATGCACTCAGAGAACTGAATAATGTACAATATATAATAATCACTATGCTAACAACACCCTCACATACCTGTCGATGTCATGACCAGGTGAACTGTTGCTAGAATCCAGGGTAACCATGCCATCCTCGGCCAAAGTTTCCAAGTCCTTGCTACCTCCACCACTTCTGCTACGTCGATGTGTGCGTACACCAGCAGGACTTTTCATCAGCGCAGGCGCACTTGGTCTTCGTGACTTTGTGGGAGTTTTCTTCACCTTGAACAAATATCAATATTATTTATTTAAAATACTAGTTACTGTCATTTGTACAACGTCAGATCACTTTAAGGCACCTCACATTCAAGGTCATGTCCTACCTCTACATGATCTAACCATGCTTAGCTCAGCAGTAAGTTCTATACAACATCACATCACTTTAAGATAGCCCACATTCAAGAACATGTACTACCTCTACATGATCTAACCATGCTTAGCTCAGCAGTGAGTTCTATACAACATCAGATCACTTTAAGATAGCTCACATTCAAGAACATGTACTACCTCTGCACGATCTAACCATGCTTAGCTCAGCAGTGAGTTCTATACAACATCAGATCACTTTAAGATAGCCCACATTCAAGAACATGTACTATCTCTACATGATCTAACCATGCTTAACGCAGCAGTGAGTTCTATACAACATCAGATCACTTTAAGATAGCTCACATTCAACGTCATGTACTACCCCTACATGTTCTAACCATGCCTAACTCAGCAGTAAGTTCTATACAACATCACATCACTTTAAGATAGCCCACATTCAAGAACATGTACTACCTCTACATGATCTAACCATGCTTAGCTCAGCAGTGAGTTCTATACAACATCAGATCACTTTAAGATAGCTCACATTCAAGAACATGTACTACCTCTGCACGATCTAACCATGCTTAGCTCAGCAGTGAGTTCTATACAACATCAGATCACTTTAAGATAGCCCACATTCAAGAACATGTACTATCTCTACATGATCTAACCATGCTTAACGCAGCAGTGAGTTCTATACAACATCAGATCACTTTAAGATAGCTCACATTCAACGTCATGTACTACCCCTACATGTTCTAACCATGCCTAACTCAGCAGTAAGTTCTATACAACATCACATCACTTTAAGATAGCCCACATTCAAGAACATGTACTACCTCTACATGATCTAACCATGCTTAGCTCAGCAGTGAGTTCTATACAACATCAGATCACTTTAAGATAGCTCACATTCAAGAACATGTACTACCTCTGCACAATCTAACCATGCTTAGCTCAGCAGTGAGTTCTATACAACATCAGATCACTTTAAGGTAGCCCAGATTCAAGAACATGTAAACTTTACCGTCTTCACGCGTTTCTAGAACCCACCTTAACTTTGGTGACAGGAGGTCTTCGAATTCGATTCACAGTTTCAAGAAATCTTAGAAATCCTTGAAAATATTTGAATTGTAGTTCGTTTTCTTTTTCCTCCGCATCGCTGCTCAACGATCTTTCACTTGCTGGTTTTTGTAGCGGGAGTAAGGCAAGGCGCACTCTCCAAAAATGCAGGGACTGGAAAATATAGGACATTTTTTACTAACTTTATTTATACTAGACAGCTCTATCAGCTCTGAACTGTTCTCCCTAGAGTCCCAGTAAGGATCATCTTTATTGATCCAGTCTTACTACAGGAGGAAACCTAAACTAAACTAACTTTATTTATACTGGACAGCTCTATCAGTTCTGAACTGTTCTCCCTAGAGTTCCAGTAAAGATCATCTTAATTGATCCAGTGTTACTACAGGAGGAAACCTAAACTAAACTATCTTTATTTATATTGGATAGCTCTATCAGTTCTGAACTGTTTTCCCTAGAGGTTCAGTAAGGATCATCTCTTATTGGTCCAGTGTTACTACAGGAGGAAACCTAAACTAAACTATCTTTATTTATATTGGATAGCTCTATCAGTTCTGAACTGTTTTCCCTAGAGGTTCAGTAAGGATCATCTCTTATTGGTCCAGTGTTACTACAGGAGGAAACCTAAACTAAACTATCTTTATTTATATTGGATAGCTCTATCAGTTCTGAACTGTTTTCCCTAGAGGTTCAGTAAGGATCATCTCTTATTGGTCCAGTGTTACTACAGGAGGAAACCTAAACTAAACTATCTTTATTTATATTGGATAGCTCTATCAGTTCTGAACTGTTTTCCCTAGAGGTTCAGTAAGGATCATCTCTTATTGGTCCAGTGTTACTACAGGAGGAAACCTAAACTAAACTATCTTTATTTATATTGGATAGCTCTATCAGTTCTGAACTGTTTTCCCTAGAGGTTCAGTAAGGATCATCTCTTATTGGTCCAGTGTTACTACAGGAGGAAACCTAAACTAAACTATCTTTATTTATATTGGATAGCTCTATCAGTTCTGAACTGTTTTCCCTAGAGGTTCAGTAAGGATCATCTCTTATTGGTCCAGTGTTACTACAGGAGGAAACCTAAACTAAACTATCTTTATTTATATTGGATAGCTCTATCAGTTCTGAACTGTTTTCC